TTCCATATGATGTTAGAATCAGCTTGGCTAGCACCAAATTAAAAAATGTACTTTTTTGGAGGAATCATATTAAATTTATACATCAATTTGAGGAGAATTGGCATTTTTCTTGATTTTCAATGTTATTCAAGTATTTTTGTTATTCAGATTCAGGAGTGTTTAAAATGTTTTTTATGTAGGTCTGGAACATTTCTTGGTAATATATTTGGAGCAGTTTTAAATTTCAGATGTTTGTTTCTAATATTTTCTTCCAAGCTACTAAATAATCTTTTTGCTTATATCAGATATTAAATTATGTAATGTGAAAGTAGTAATAATTTACTTCTCTTTTTCAATTTTTATAACTGCAAAATCTAATATTATTGAAACCACATTTGGTGTTTCTCCATTAAGTCCAAGTTTGATCTTTAAGACATAGGTATTTCATTTCAATAAGTGTTTGTCTATTATTATTTTGTTAAGATTTTCTTTTAATTCAGAATAGTTGCAGAATGTTGAAAATGTTTTTGCAAGTAATCCTAGAGAGATGATTCTATGATTTTCTTTTTAGCTTTATTACTATAATTGTACATTAATAAATTTGCTAATATAGACCCATTCTTGTATTCTTTAAATGAAATATATTCTTCATAACACGTTAATAGTTTAATATGCTGTTAGAATCTCTGAAGTCATATTGGCTTGTTGTTTATCTGTGCAATTCTAACCTCGTATGACACCAATATATTGTTTTTGAAAATAATGGAAATATCTCCCTCCCATATCCCCTCTATTTGTTTGTTTGTTTGTTTGTTTGTTTTTATGCTTTGGAATAGTTTAAATAGCATTGGAATTATCTACACTGAAAAGAGTTGATAGACTTTCCCTATCAGTCCTTATTCTTTCATAAATTTTAGGTTTTTCAGCTGATTCTTCATTTTTTCTATTAAAATCTCTTGGTTTAAATTTCTTTCTCTTTTGGAATTAATTTGGATAAATACTCTCTTAGAATATCATCCGTTTTATCTAGGTTTTATAATTGATTGCAGCAATCTAGCTTTTGTGATGTCCTTACTTTTCCCTTTATTGTGATTATCTTTCCCCATAATATTCCATTTTTATAGATATACTGTCTTGTATTTTCTCAATCAGTTGGTATCCCTCCCCATCACAGAAGTTTTTACTTATGTATTAATGGAACTATTATTTTGTTTTCTGACAATTAATTCCAGCTTTTACCTTTATTAATTGCACACTACTGTTTTATTTCAATTTATTTTTATGTTCTTTATAACTTCTTTAGTCTTATTATTGATTAGTTTAATTAAAATTTCTTGATCTGAAATCTGAAGTTAACTATTCTCTATGCCCTATTCTAGTAATATCCAAATATATTTTTCCACAGTATTATCTTTTCAAACAATTCTACCAATTCAGTTTGATCCTAAAAGTACTTTGAGACAAATTTTATTTTAATGGTAATTGAGTCTTTTTGTTGTCTGAATTTGTTATTAATTACTAGTTTTATTGCATTGTAATAAAAATATATTCAACAATTTATCCACTTTGGAAATGTTAAGGTTTTGTATTTAGTTTTAGTTAATATTTTATGAGCACTTCTAAAACAGCTATCTTTACTTCAGAGTAAAGCATTAAACATTTGTCAATTTGATTTACCTTCTTAATTGATATTTTTGTCAACTTGATCTTTCATAAACTCAGGTTAATCAAGTTCTTCTAACAGAGAATATTTCTATCACTCTTGTAGCTTCTATAATGTCTAATTTATGAATGTTGCTTCCCTGTTATGTAATGTCTAGAAATTCATAACTGTTTTATCTTTATTTTGAATTAGTTTAATTAGCATTACAAAATGTCCTTATTTAAATCATTTCATTCCTTTTATGGTCAGAATTCCTTCTTGTCTGATATAAAAATTGCATCCACATTTGATTTGCTTTTGCATTTTCCATTTATACTTTTGCTCAGCCTTTTGTTTTGTTTTTATATTTATTTTATATTTCTTTTTTAATTTAATTTAATATTTCCTTTATTTTTCATCATCATTTATTCCCTCTATGCTCTCTTCCATCTCCAACCTCCACCCCCTTCCCCAACCCACTTTTATCATTTTTCTTTCTGAATCACTTATTGTAACAGTCTCTGATTTCTGGTACAATATGATAGCATTGTTTTTTTAATACATTAATTAAACTCATTAGCATTTGCAGTGACAGCTGTCTGGTCTTAATTTAATGGCATACTTTATGCTTCTAGAACTTTGTAAAGGTTTGTTTTGCTATTTTTGTTCATTATTTTTTGTTGTTGTTAATCTTCACCCGAGGATATTTTTCCATTGATTTTCAGAGAGAGTGGAAGCATGGGAGAGAGAAGAGAAAGGGAGGGAGTAGAAAGAGACGGAGAGAGAGAGAAAAAGAGATTGGTTGCCTCCCACATGCTACCCATCCAAGGCCATGGATTGAATCTGAAACCCAGGTACGCACCTACGACTGGGAATAAAACCCTCAACCCTTCCATGCTTCAGGCCCACGCTCTAACCACTGAACCACTGGCCAAGGCTTATTTTTTAGTTTTAATTAGTTTTTCTGATAGTCAAGATTTTAATTTAAAATTTTACCTTTTCTATTAGTTCCCTTTCATGAGCAACAATAGAGTTAGCAGGTTTTATCTTCCTCTGCCTATTCTCTCATTACCCCATGATTTAGTCAATTTTTACTTTCTTGATGTTTACTTGTATTTTTAGATCTGATTGTGCTTCTATTACTTGATCTATCAAGTTTAAATTATAGATGATTATGCAGTGAAATTACTTTACTTCCCCCTACTTTGTTAGTTATTTTTACATTACCATGTAACATTTTATTTATGTTCTATCTCCACATTTGTTTATTCTTAGTTCTATTATTAAATACATTCAATAGTCATCAAACATCATAATTTCCCTAGTCATCTCTTGGCTGACTTAAGTTCACCCTTAGGCAGGTTTTCAAGAAGAGTTTATGGGAAAAAAAATATTAGCTGAACTCTTGTTTGATCAACACCAATAACCTTTACACAGTTTGCCTTATCCAAACCTAATATTTGTACGTTATGTTTTCTTTCTCTTTCTTTGAGTATCATACAGGTATTTCTACATTATTCTCTGTCAATAAATGGTTGCATTAGATAAATTTGAGGCCACGCTGATATTTTTGCCTTTATTCTATATTCACCCTTTTTGTTTGCAAACACAGTTCTGTTTGTTTTTTCATCTTCAAAATCCATTAACTTTAATAAGCTATAAATAAAATTAACCACTCTAGGTTAATTCTCCCAAGTCTTTCAGACAATTTTGTATTTATTTCAATATGTAGATTTAAATCAGTTTTGATTTCATCAAAATTGTCTTGAGTTATAACTTTTTTAAGATGGTTATTTTAAAACGCCTTCAGGTTTTATTTCATTTTTTAAATATGTTATTGATTTCAGAGAGAGGAAGGGAGACGGAGAGAAGGATAGAAACATCAATCATGAGAGAGAATCATTGATCGGCTGCCTCTTGCACGCCCCCTACTAGGGATCGAGCCTGCTCATCAGGGACTAAACTACTACCTCCTGGTTCATGGTTGGCAGCTCAAACACTGAGCCACACCTGGCCTGGAGAATTACACCATTTTAAAAAGTTTTTCTGTTTGTTTGCTTTCCTTCTTTGGAAGTTCACTCTGGTGGTGATAGAACTGTTTTGCCTATTAATTTATTACTAGAGGCCCAGTGCACGACATTTGTGCACTGGAGGAGTGGGGTCCCTCAGCCCAGCTTGCGCCCTCTCGCAGCCCCGGACTCCCTGGGGGATGTCTGCCTGCTGGCTTAGGGATGTCCACCTGCCAGCAAATCACAGTTTGGTCTATTTGCATATCAGGGTTTTATTATATAGGATTTTCTCCCTAAACTATTTTAAATCTTTTTTTCCTCAAAGCTATCCTCTGCCCCTTGATGTAGTTTCCTGACATCCTTGCATTCCTTCCAAATTCTTCTCTTTTTTCTAATATTTTCTGATTTCTGCAAGCTCATTTTTTACTCTCCTATTGTCACACTATAATCAGTCCTATTCCTGCATTTCTACTTGGCAATTTTCCATTTATGGAAAATTATTTTATTAAGTTTCTATTGTTTTACTTATTCACTATTTTATAGCCTTTTTAAAGTTAAAAATTTATTTAGAGACAACTACTACCAGGAATATTGTATTACTCTTCCTCAAATTTTATATTTTTCTTTAAACTATTTTGTATTTTTTCCATCTATTACACATTCATATAATTTTCCTATAACAAAAATTAACATTTTAATTAAAATATGAAAGTAACCAATTTCTTTAGAAAATTATTGAAAAATTTTCAACTATTATATAGTTTTTTTGTTTGTTTGTTTGTTTTTACAGAGAGGAAGGGAGAGGGATAGAGAGTTAGAAACATTGATGAGAGAGAAACATCCATCAGCTGCCTCCTGCACACCCCCTACTGGATATGTGCCTGCAACCAAAGTACATGCCCTTGACCAGAATCGAACCTGGGACCCTTCAGTCTGCAGGCCGATGCTCTATCCACTGAGTAAAACCGGTTAGGGCTATTATATAGGTTTTTTTACACCATTTCTCTTTGGGGGTTTTATTGTAAAATATATTGTTTTAATGCTTTTCTTTTTTTGAGATTTTATCTTTGTTTTAAAATTTTAAAAGCCAAACATTTTTATTCATTTCATTTTATTTTAAATATGAGAAAGGTAATTAAATATAGCTCTTTATAAAAACAATATAACTGGTGATATGAAAAGTTGATTTAATCCTTAGTCTTGATATGGTTATAAATATGAATGGTTTTAAGATATCATATGGAATTTACATATTCAAGTATTTGATAACTTGTATCAAACGTGGTTTCAATATGCAGGGCCTAGATTTCTATATTAATTGTGATTATTTTTGTAGACCAAAGTATCTAATGTTGTTATTTATATTTTAGGTTAGTGGGATGGTTTGGCCATGAACTCAGCACCAGATTTAAAATGGATAACAGTAAGTGTATTCCATTTTACTTTACAAGTCATTTTATTTTAACTTTAATTGTCATCAGTCTTTGTATGATACGTAATATACATGCCTCCTGGAGAATGCACTTTGAAAATGCCACTGAGAATTTTTAAAATAAGAAGTGACATTTCCAGAGTGTAAGACTAAGTGTTTATAGAATTCAGCATGATGTCAAGTCTATCCCTTTGTAGGGAGATAAGAGGAGGCGAAATCTAGCATAAAGGATCCGACCGCATCAATATGGAGTACCCGAACATCAGGCAGTGAGGACAAGAGGGATTTTTGCCTTGGAGTCAGACCCAGAGAGACTTGGGTGTCAATCCCACGTTGCTGCTTAGTAATTTTGTGATGCTGCACCAGCTATGTCATCTTGGAATTTTTCTTCTCACATAATTAATGTGAATAATATATATTTCAGGATTTGCTTTGTGGGTAAAGACAAATCTAAACCAAAGAGCAAACAGCAGTGTTATTTCATTTTTATCTCCTCTTCTTCCAACTTTTCCTCCTTTTGTAGTTTTGCCACTTACTGAACAGTAGCAGGTAAACCTCAGAGGGTAGACATGAAAGTGCACCAGGCACAGGGGTGTACTGCCCTGCTCTTTTCCTTAATGACTCTGTTCTGCAATCACATGGAGCACAGAAAGCTTTGCAAATGTTGCGAGAATCCCACTTAAACTTGATCATTCAGATGATGTCCAACCCTGAGATAGGATTTTAAGCAAATTCACATTTACAAAAACCAAGACGAAAAAGGATCAAGATGGGCTCTTCCAGTCAAATCAGGAAAACTATATTTCATCTTGGCTGCTGAAATAATGAGATCAGTCCAGTTACTTAAATTTTTTGTGCTGGGTTTCTTATCTGTAAATGAGGGAGGTGGATTAGATCAGGCAGCAGAGTTTTTCTGTGAAGGATAAAACAAAAGTTATTTTAAGCTTTTTGGTTTGTACTGTCACTGTGGCAAATACTCAGTTCTACCATTGTAATGCTAAAGTAGTCATAGACATACATAAATGAATGATGGAGCTGTGTTCCAATAAAACTTTATTTATAAAGACAAGTGGTGGGCCACATTTGGCCCACAGGACATAGCTTGTCTAATCCTGGATTAGATGAATCTTGAAATACCCAGAATATTCTAGTTTATTTAGTCAGTCTTAGTTTTAATTTGGTCTCTAGTTAGCAATTTTCACTCTATTGGATTTAACTTTCAATTTAATTAATTCTAATTATGATAATATCTTATATTAATTCACCTTTTAAACATATCATACTTAGGCAGATTATTTTTTTTAACTTCCTCTTTTTCCCTAAGAAAAGCCACTTGACCCTAGTGCTAAAAGTCACTTTCATAGGTCATTTCATTTGATATGTCTGGCTTTGGGCAGCATTATGATTACAAGTTATTTAAATCCTGATGTTTTTCTCTCATTGATGTGGTTTCATAATGGAAGAACATAGCATGAAGCAGAACAAGGAATACAGGCTTGGGAATGGCAGAGGACAGGGTCCAGAAAAGCTTTTAGAAGAGACCACTTTTATCTTGTGTCTAAGAGCTCTAGTGTTTGGTAGTTTCCTAAGAAGGTGGGGGCAGGAGAGACAGACATAATAGGTAAAGGGAAAATGTGTGCCAGTTTTTTAGGTCCACAGATTTTCTCTTAAATTATCTCAGAAATCTTAGGGATATAAATGTTTAATTCTTTTTCTCTCTACTACTCTGTCATTGAAAAAAAAATCCATAAAGAATAACTTTTAAGATATATTCTGTTAAAATGACATAATATGAATTTTTCAGAATTGCAGTTAATCCCTGGAGCCAATGGATTTAGAATTTCAAATCCTCCCATATTGTTGGTCTGTCCTTTGCAGGCTAGTTTAGAGGTAAGTGATCTGTGTGCCAGTCTTCCCACATCTTTACTTTTTCTTTACCTGATTGTGACATGCTGTAGTACTTTCTCTGCTAATCAACAAGATTATAATGTGCATGTGATTTGGCCCAGAAAGCAGCAGAGAGAACAAAGAGAACCAAACGGTTAAAGAGGAGGGAAGGAGAGTTTAATGCTGCGTTCTCAAGCGGGACCCACCAGCCCAAAGGTGGGGCCAGTGAATTCGCGCCAACAGGGCGGGGCGGCACTTCTTTTATACAGGTGTTTAGTGAGGGGCGGGAGCAGGAGCTGAGGAAGTTCCCCCCACGGGGGTCATCACGGTATTCAGCTGAGGAAGATCCCGCCGTGGGGGTCAGCAAGATATTCAGGAAGGAGTCAGTATCTGTGTTGGGGGTCCTTATTCTAGGGAGGAGCCCGTATCTGTGTGGCCATCTGTCTGGCAGGCTGACCTGTTAGAAATTCCAGGGAGGGTCCATTATCTCATCACACCTCTGCAGCATCTGATCCTGGGCTCCCTCTGACTTAACATCGCACTGTGCACAAACATTGTGCAAAGGGTAGTGTTCACCTTTAGGATGCGTCCCTATGTGAATTATCACCTTCTATGTGTCTCCAGCCCCTAGCAGGATGATTGGCACATTGTAAATGTTACCTGTAACACACCTGGGGAGACGTACTTTTAGTTCCACTTCCAATTTGTGTGAACATGAGTGAGTTACTTAATCTTCTATTGATTTCTCAATATTAAAACAAACATGCCATATTTAACTCCCAATTAATTAAATCATTCAACATTTATTTATTAAGAGAATGCCGTGTGCCAGACGATGCTATGATTACTGGGGCTCTGTCTTTCTAGTTCTGTGAAACAATGAACTGACAAAGTTTTAGGAAGACTAAGGAGGGAGTATATACATATATACATATATATATGAATAATCAGAGTAAAACAAAGATTGGGTAAGGTTGTTTCATGAGTTAGGGTAAATTTTGTTAAAACTGGGGATCTATGCCATTATAGTCATGTATATAATCTCTACTCTTACTGGCTAAATATTTTTCTTTAAATTCATTCATATTTTTACTTAAAGTTAGTCTTACCCTAAATAATAATATCCAAGGAACCAGTTTGTTTTCCTAGATCTGCATATCTCTCTACTTCAATATATCTAAATAATTTGATGTATCTCTACCTATCTATATATTCCAACTAATTATTTGAATATTAATTAATTTCAGAGTGAGACTAAACTTATTCCAATATAGTTTTAACAACTCTTTCATGCACAATAGCAGTATAAATAGATATATTATGTAAAAATATATTCATACACACATTTAGGTAAAATATATTTTAAGTAGACATATACATTTTTAATAGAGATTTTTAAGCAAATAGCTATTCAAATAAAATTTTATTTTCAAAAATTTTAAATCATCCAAAGATAAAATAGTTTTTGATATTTTAGGAAATCGTGTTGTGGAGTGACTGGAAATACTTCCAAAGTCTCTTCTAAACCTAAAATTCTAGGAATCTGTGAACAATTTTCGCAGTTTCTCATTTTGGCCACTGGGAAGCAGTGTCAAGTTCCGCTAGAGCAGAGGCTCTCAACCTGTGGGTCGCGACCCCTTTGGGGGTCAAACGACCCTTTCACAGGGGTTGCCTAAGACCATCGGAAAACACATATATAATTACATATTGTTTTTGTGATTAATCACTATGCTTTAATTATGTTCAATTTGTAACATTGAAAATACATCCTGCATATCAGATATTTACATTATGATTCATAACAGTAGCAAAATTACAGTTATGAAGTAGCAACGAAAATAATTTTATGTTTGGGGGTCACCACAACATGAGGAACTGTATTAAAGGGTCACGGCATTAGGAAGGTTGAGAACCACTGCTCTACAGTATTTTTATGCAACTTCACTACTAGGTCTTGATAATCAAGCTGGTTTCATTTCATCCTAATTTAAAGAGCAGGTTCTCAGTTTGACCACTAGATGGAACTTGCGCTGTTCTCACTTTTTAGCTTTTTTTTTAGGTTGAAATAAACTCAGTAAACAAGATTTTTGTTAGTGATAAATTTTGGAGGGAATCGGCTCAGCAGATTAGATAATGACATTTGAATTGTTTTTATAAAAGTCATTCAGAGAAAAGCGTCTGTTAAACATTTCAAAACAAAATGTTTTGCTTACCTTACTTGCCAGTTTATATCAGGGAGAAGATGAATTACACTACTTAAAAAAGCCACCAAGGCATACATTAGAAAAAACTATATTTAAAGGTATTTCCTCTTATTTTTCCTATCTTTCTAAGCCTTATCTAGAAATTTTCTTTTGATTCTCCACTGGTATATTCTCTGCGGTGGGTGGGTTATTCCAGCATTCACCCCTCTGCCAGGGCAAGAGTCTGATTCTGAACTTTCCCTCCAGTAGTTTCCTACCATAGTGTATTATAGTCCCCCAGACAAGCTTCTATTCTCAGCTGGAATCGGAAGACTGGTTTATCTCTTCCTTTAATATCTAAGTTTAAAGCCAGCAAAGGGCCTTAAGAGCCAGCAGAAGAGGGATATACACTTTTTTTTGGGGGGGGGGGGGGCTTCTTATCACCTGAGTACTTCTCAGGAGCCTCTTAGAAGTACCTTGCTGAAGTCATTCACTGCTGAGGCAATGACCTAAAGGAAATTATATGTAGGTAATCAAACCTTAGGTTGATGAAAGTATTCTTTTGACATTCTTTCTCCACATTATAAATTGCAAAATTCTGAAATTACAAACTAATACAGTTCATTGTTTCCTATTCTCTACCTAATGTTCCCTTTTCTAGATGATTCTGAGTTTGCCATGTGAGTAAGCACCAGTAAGTTAACCATGTCTGGACTTAACTTATTTGTTTAGAAGTTACTGCATATGGAAGATAGGCAATTGAAGTTTGAGCAAATGAAATAAATACCTGAATCAAACTACCTTTCTTTGTTTTCTCTACTTCCCTTTCGAAAAATATTCCACATAGTCAAATGCCAACTGCAGGAGAGAGTCTATATTTAAGAAGCAGTGCATATGAGCATGATCTCAGGGTTACAATAAGAATTTAAAGCAAAGGATTTTAAATGACTATTTACAATTATGTACATTTAAATGATACTATTAAAATAGCACCTTATAGTCAGTTTTGAACTGTCATTTTCTTTATATTGTTGCTTCTTAATCATTTATACAATACTTTAAAAATATTGTGGGTCAAGGGAAAGAGCACTAGAGTAGGAACCGGTTGGCAAGAACTGCACCCCTCGTGGGGACACGAAGTGTGGCTTACACAAGTGACAACTACTCATTAATGGATTTACCTCTTCTAAGTGAAAATCTTTTGACCAGAGTACTTCTGTGGTCTCCTCAATTTTCAATTACTAACTTGAACTGAAATAATATTCATATTGTAATTTGAAAGGTCATATTTGGATGTAGCAATATATAAACAAATTTTAGACCCTTTTAGGACACAAATTTAAAATGAATTAAATAGCTTCAAAATAAAAATTAGAGTACTCAAATAAAATACATGGCAAGTCAGAAGAGGTTTACTTTGTATTTCCTCAGAAAATTATCAGAGAGCCATTTTTAAGAATTTAGGAGAAAAATATGACAATTGAAAGCATCATGCTTATGCTTATTTTCCTATTTAAACTTATCTAACTTTGCATTCATTTTACTGGGGGGCGGGGGGGGGGAGCCCAAGTAGATGAAACTGCCAAGAATTCTGTTATAAGCTGAATATTTTCAAATTACACTTTTCATTTTTTTTTCTATTAAAAAATATTCTGCCTCTGTACTGCAAGCACAGAAATGATCAGAAGCCAAGAAGGAAAGAGGAGATTTTATTCCCTTTCCCTGTTAACTTCTCCTTTTAGCCCCTCTTAATATTTCGATGTGAGGGTTCGGCAGAGACATTTATAGTACACTCCGTGAAAAGAATTTTATAGTGCCTCAGAATGCACCTGCGGTGGTAAAGTGGAAAACAGTTTTAGATCAAAGTTATTTTATTGTTAACAAAGAGCAATAGCATGTTAACACTGAGATATTTGTTAAAAAAAAATAGTTTCTAGTTATTAAGAAAAATTTGCAAGAGCAAAGCCTCCTATGAAAAATTGTGAGCTTAAGTAATATTCCCCAAAGTCTTGCTAACCTATGAATACAAATGAAATATCATTAAAAGTCCTACTTCTCACATTGCCCCCATCTGTATCTTATGTGGCCCATATCAGAACCAGGAAATTTTCCAGAATTTTTTATTAATAAAAGTTTCCTCAAATAATTATTAATATCCAAAGAGAAGCTTGGAAAGATTATTCTCATATTTTTATATTCCAAACTCAAGAGTCAAAACACTGGGCTGTGCCTTGCCTCTGTGAGGAAGCTGTTTCTTGAACTGGGCTCACTTGTTCCAAAACTTGGCCAGTGTTGCTCAGTGGTTGAGTGTCCACCTATGAACCCGGAGGTCATGGTTCAATTCCAGGTCAGGGCACATGCTAGGGTTTCGGGCACAACTCCCAAGCGGGGGCAGCTGGTCTATGATTCTCTCTCTCATCATTGATGTTTCTCTCTCCCTTCTTCTTTCTGAAATCAATAAAAATATATTTAAGAACACACAACAACTTGGAGATGTTCCCTCATGGAGTTCTCATCGTGCCAGACGTGCTACATTTTGTTTTACACAGAAATGCCTCCTACCGGACTCCATGTAACCGGGGTTACCTGAGTCCTAAAGAATATAATCCCTTACCCACAGGGGATACATTTTAAGACCCACAGTGGAGGCCTGAAACCACAGATAGTATGGAACATAGTATATATCATGTTCCATGTATACTATGATATATATATGATAAAGCTTAATTTATAAATTAGGCATAGTGAGAGATTAATGGCAATAATTAATCATAAAATGGAATAATTATAACAATGTACACTGTAATAAAAGTTATGCACATGTGGTCTCTCTCAAAATATTTCATTGTACTGTACTCACCCTTCTTTATCATTTTTTCTTTTTTCATAATTTCACAGATAGAAGACTCATTCTTACGATAGGTCTTAGGGAGCTCCTCAAAGATTTTTTCTTGCTTCATTAAGTAGAGAACTTGCACCTTTTCACTTAAAGGACAAACTTTACAGCTTCTCTTTGGCATGTCCAAATTGCCAGCCTCACTATGCTTGCACTTTGGGGCCATTATGAAGTAAGTAAGGCTTGCTGGAGCAGAAGCACTGCCATGCCATGCCAGCTGATCTGATAGCCAGGCTGGCGACTAAGTGGGAGGGCACACAGCGTGGAGACACTAGGACAAAGGGACATTCACAGCCTGGGCGACATGGAGCAGAAGTGCAACAGATTTTTATCAGGCTACTCAGAATGGTGCACAATTTAAAACTTATGAATCGTTTATTTCTGGAACTTTTGATTTAATTTTTGAACTTCAGTTGAGGGAGGGCAACTGAAACCATGGGCAACTGAAACTGCGGGAAGCAAAGCCACGAATAAGAGAGGATGACTCTCTTCTTTGCACTGGGACCACAAATGCCTCCTGAAACAAAGGCATCAGCTTCCCCTTGCAGCTGGTCTCCTCCAAGGCTGCAGGCATAGTCTGTGAGGTCTGGGTGGCAAGATACCACTCTATGCTGCCTGAGAGATGAGTGGTGCAGGCTGGAAACATGGTAAAGCGGGTAGTTAGAAGTGGTCTTATTCTAGATATAGTTTAAAGATAGAGCTACCAGCTTTTGCAGATGGATTTGTGGGAGTTGTTTGGAAAATAAAGGAGTCAAGGATGATACCAAAGTGACCTGAAAAACTGGTGGGAAGGGAATTGCCAAAAACTGAGGTGGTAAGGCTACACCTGAGGAGAAGGTGACTTTAGGAGGAATATTGGGGATCCCAATGTTGAATATGTTTAGATAGAAATGCCTGTTATACATGTATCCAATTAGAATGTCGAGTAACAGTCAGATACGTGGCTCTGGATGAGAGAGCTTGGTACGTTAAGTCCAGATTGGTATGAATTGTGGGGTTTTTTTAAATCATTGTCTGTAATATAAAAGGTTGAAAGAAAAAAAATACAACTCCCTTCCTCTTCTTCAGCCAAATTTATACCCTCCATGCAATGAAGGGGACGAACATGTATGCCTAAAGTGTTTACTCCTGTTAGAATGCGGGCCCACACGTATATACAGATATAAGTGTTTTCATAGACATTATGAAGTCTACACAGCATTGAATGACCCTGTCTTTGCTCTGTGGCATAACATGATACAGTAAAGGGACAGAAAGTGGCAGGCCAGTGCATCACACTGTTTGAAGTTCATTCCGCTCTTATAGGGAGGATATATTTTTAAACTCTACTTGACCTGAAGAGATAAGCTAGAAAAGCATGTCTGTTCTGACCTCTAATGTTCCAACACCAGTTACTGTGTGCCCTTGTCACTCATCTTAATATAAGACACCTCAGGCAGGAAATTGCAGTGTTTTCAGACCATACTAGAGTGTAACAGGGAAAAAAGTGATGAAAAAAGAAAAAAAGGCGGGGGAGGGGGGGAGGGGGCGGGCGGTGAGGGAGGAGAAAGGGGGAAAAAAGGCCGAGTCTTTAGTACTAACAAATGTATTGTGTAACATTTTTTGCTTCTCTGTCTGATAAAACTTGCTGTTTTCTTACTGCTAAACTGGAGGAGATTGAGGACGTGGTCAAACATCTGTAAATAATATTTTCAACATCACCTTCCACATAGGCATGGACATTTAGCTCTTACAGTATTGTTTTGTGGACCAAACAAACTTCATATCAGAAAAGAAAACATCTTCCTGATTATGATGGTTTTGGAGAAAGTGTTCAAGTTATGTGATATTTTAATTCCTTTATTAAGGGACACTTATAATAATTATTCTAAGCTAATTTAAATAATTCTGAAGGAACATTACATCAGCTTTTTTTTTTTGTAAGTATTGTTTAAATGGCACTTTTGCAGTTTGTCTGATATAGAAACTTTGCATTCAGTTCTTGATGGCAAAGGATTTAAAAGAGGACATATTTTTACAAAACGATTATTTAAAATGGGATGGTTTTTGGAGAGGTTAAAAGTGGTGACTTCCTTCTTTATGCATGATTTGCAATTTATTTTTGCTTCTTTGTAAATCAACAAAATGTTGTTAATCTGACTGTTTCTCATTCTACAGATCTTTAAGAAAGCAACCATGAAAGCACTGAGAAGAAAGTCTGTTTTGCTCACGGGTTACCTGGAATACCTGATCAAGCACTACTATGGCAAAGAGAAAGCAGAAACCAAGACACCAGTGGTGAACGTAATCACTCCATCCCGTATAGAGGAACGCGGCTGCCAGCTAACATTAACATTTTCCGTTCCAATAAAATCTATATATCAAGAACTAGAAAAAAGAGGAGTGGTTGTAAGTATATCTCTTGCTTTGCTACCCGGCTTTCTCTAGGGGTTGCATGTTAGGGGGAAAATTTGGATTCTTTAGTTTATTCTTTCACTGGTGCATGTAATTTCACATCAATCAGCGAGTTACTGGGGATAAATTAAGTGCCAACTAAGTCAGTATTCGGGACTTGCTAATTAAAGGGCACAGAGATCTGTCATTTCTGATAAAAAAGAAGAAACCACAAATTTTGGATACAAAGTACAGTTTTATGTAATTTATTCACTTTTATTACAGTTTGAGCAACAAATATTGTTTCATCATAATTAGGACACATTCTCACTAGTTTTTACAAGTAAAAGCCCTAATACATATTTATGGAATACATAGAATTAAAGAACATACTACTATAATGGAGGAGAGAAAAATCAGTCAATCTTTTTTTGTTGTTTGATTAAACTAAGTTATTTTCAAGCTTGTCACTTAAGTTATAAAAGATATGTAGGCACATCTGAGGAGTGTTAACATTGTATGAAATAATTTTTTTAACCATTGGGCCAAAGTGGCCTTCTTAGTCTCTTGAAAGGAACTAATAGGTGTTAAGAGAATAATTTCACAGGAAAGTGGTGATAATGCAATCTAGGGACTCCTGCACTCGAGTGGCCCTCCAGACCTTTAGAAGAGGTCACCACCGCAGACTCTGGAGGCACCAATCAGAATATCACCCCTGCAAATCAATATGACCAAGACATGTTCTTGGGAAAGTTAACATGTATCAGCCCGAGATTCGCATCTGTTTTGGGGTGCGAATGTATACTTACTTCAAAAAGTTGGTATGGGAATGAAATGGACCAACGCACATGAACCATTTACTATGCTGTCTAGCCTGTAGTGGGTATCCTATATAATAAAAGGCTAATATGCAAATTGACTAAGCAGCAAATTGACCAAGCGGCAGAACGACCGATCACTATGACGTGCACTGACCACCAGGGGGCAGATGCTCAATGTAGGAGCTGTCTCCTGGTGGTCAGTGCACTCCCAAAGGGGGAGCACCACTCAGCCAGAACCCAGGTTCGGCTGGCAAGGGCAGCAGTGGTGGCAGGAGCCTCTCCTGCCTCTGCAGCAGTGCTAAGGATGTCCCACTGATGGCTGAGCAGGCCTAAGCCATTGGTCAGACATCCCCCGAGGGGTCCTGGACTGCAAGAGGGCGCAGGCCTGGCTGAGGGTCTCCCCGCCCTTTGAATGCATAAATTTTGTGCACTGAGCCTCTAGTTTCTTAATATAGTTCTAGTGAACTTCAGGCGAGGTCAAATTTGTCTGGGCCCATTTCATAGCATTTCAGCATTCCCAGTGTAAACCCAAACTAATTTTAGGCTGTAATAAATAACAAAGCGACTTATTTGAGCAAAAGGAGATACAGCCTGAGAACACAGGTTTAGATAGCAACCTAAATTGTATTCAACAACCCTGGACAAAGGGGAAGCCACCTTTATAGTGAAAGTTCTCACCCAGGTTTCCAATTATGTCCATTTTATGTAAATGAGGTATCCAATTGTGCAGTTGTGATTGCTCAGTATAGTTAAAATAAAGATACAAATTGAGCCATTCTGATTGGATGGGGCAGGTCTCAGTCTGTTGGTAGAAAGATGAAACGATGGTTTCCCCACAGTTGTTGACTCGGATGGTATAAACAAACTGCGGGAAGCCAAAAGTTCAATTTGAGGTTTTTCTCCGTGTACAGAGTATGTGAGGAGCCCCTGTCAGTTAATGACACTAGACTGTAATTCATAATATTTGGGCCCTTGGTTGACCATGGGGCAGATAAATTCTTTCTCTGGGTTCACATCAAATGAATCTTTTTTCTTGAGGTGCACATCAGGAATATAGCCAACTCCTTACCTGAGAGATTAGGGCTTAGAGAATTAAATGTAAGGATAATTGATTGGAATTTGCCAGGGCAGTGTGAGGTTCTCATTCATGTAAATGTGTCCAAAATTCCCGACTCTCCAGTGTCTCCCACAGACGAATCATACATATGCTCTATTAAATGCTTAAAGAAAATGACCTAAATGGACTTCAGAAAAGTGCTTTTGGATATTCATGTAACAGCCCATTAATGGTTTACTTATAATTAAGAAGAGAGTTTCACATAGCATAGAAACTTTATGTTTTAATTAAAATGAAAAATTGCTTATATAGTAAGTTTTAGGGAAATCAGTATGACTATTTCATGTAAGTTCATCTCGAACGCAGATTTTCATGATGAGAATAATGCTGACAGTATTGGGGCCTTATTTTCCCCCCACAGTGTGACAAGCGGGAACCCAATGGCATCCGAGTGGCTCCGGTTCCTCTCTACAATTCTTTCCACGATGTTTATAAATTTATCAGTCTGCTCAATTCTGCACTTGAGGCTGAAGAAAGAAAACATAACAGTGTTTAGAACAAATTAAGCAAACTGAAAGCTGCTGTGATTATTTTATGATTTTCATTCAAGTTTTAATCATTAGAAATGTTAAAAAACTAATTATACCTAACTGGCAATGAATTGCATACTTTACAAAAAAATCTGGGATAATTCTTTTAGAAGTCAATGTTCCTGAGGAATCTAAATGTCTATCCAATTTCTTGGTGTTTTGTGAATCAAGGTTTTCATTGGTCTAAGTATTATGTACAGAGTCTTGGTTAGCTGTTACAGTTCATGGCCAGTGAAATATTGTTACTGGTTTAATTTCTCATTGACTGACAATTTCATAATATATGTGAAATTTTTGTGTCAATTTTCTAAATATCACTTTAGCTTAAATTACCCAAAGACTTTCTTATACGCACTATAGTTGAACCATCTGATATATGTATGATTTTGGGATATTCTATCCAGCTCTAATCTAAGGAACAGAAAAACAAATTTCTAGAGCAGTGGCTTTCAAATATTTTTGGCCACAATCCATATTAAGAAATATATCTAAAAACAGAGACCTACATTTATGTGTGGATAGGCCTTATTTTGACACACAATTTGTAACAATATTTTAACATCTGTGAAAGAAAAGTCTATCAGTTTTCAATCAACTGCTTCTTACAATTGCCATTGGTCATTCTTTTTCATTACCATCCCTGACATTAGCATGCTTCTCACAATGAATAGGAAGCACCTTAGGTTGAATTAAAAGTGGTATATATAGCAAAAACCAAAGGTTCATGAATTATTTACCTGTACTCTGATATTTATTATTCTGTTTTATCTTATTACAACAAATATTGGTTGAAACTTGTTAAATTGATTTCTCCACCCACTCTTGGGCCCTAAATCACTTTTCAAGGATATCCCTTTATATAATGTTATCATAATTTCTCCTTTTTTTAATGGCAACTTCCCTGGATGAAAGACATTGGATGTTACTCTACCGCTAAAATAGTGAAAGAAATCACTCCATGATACTGGCAGTTGAGGGTTAGAATTAAGAAATGAGTTGCCGAAACCGGTTTGGCTCAGTGGATAGAGCATGGGCCTGTGGACTGAAGGGTCCCAGGTTCGATTCCGGTCAAGGGCATGTACCTGGGTTGCGAGCACATCCCCAGTAGGAGATGTGCAGGAGGCGGTTGACCGATGTTTCTCTCTCATCGATGTTTCTGACTCTCTGTCTCTCTCTCTTCCTCTCTGTAAAAAATCAATAAAATATATTTAAAAAAAAAAAAGAAATGAGTGCCTCATCTCTTAACCTCTATTCCAAATCTTATCCTCTATGAAAGCTAGAGTTGTACTCTGCCCTGTTGGATGTCCCTTGTTTTTAGCTGTTGATACCATAATCACTATTCACGGGTTGACAAACTTCTACATTTGTATATATTCACAGCAAGAAAGAGTGACTATGACATAATTATTTCCATATTGAAACAAATTTGAATGAAATTAACTTGGACAACCACTTGGATGTTAGAGTTAAATAAAAAGATGCAGAATTCTAACAATACCAGCAAGTAGTGATGTCTATCAAGAATGTACTATATATTGTGCTGCTCTCTTTATGTTATCTTAGTTGAGTGGCTGTATAATTGCTTTAGTAATATTTAGTGATATTGTTAATATTTTCTTTTTCTTGGGATGTCTCTCAGTTCTTAGCACTGAGCTAAATATGCAGTTAGCCTCTTACAGGCAGGTAATGAATGAGAAAGGTGCAGTTGTAACATGTCGTATATGCTGTCCATGTTTACATTGAAGTCCCCTGTGAGCTTTGTCTCAAAAGAGTAACTAGTAGAAAATCCTGTATGATTGAGTCTGGTTCAGACATGAGCCCACTAGAATACATCAGAGTTATGTAAAATATTACGAATATGTAGACCAATAGATACCTGTACTCCATAGGTAGAAATTAAATGTTTACTCTTATGTTGAGGTTGGAAATAATTCTAAAACTTTAAAAAGCAAGGGCATGTAATGTATTGGTTATGTAATTCACTATTATATGGCAGCCTCCTTGGCCTGTAGGCCTCAAAGACCCTTTCTCTGTATCCCACCCAGGAGCAACATTGAGAATGACTTCATTGTCCTAAATCAAATGAGAAAGATGCTTCAAAGCACAAATTCTCCTGAGAGACAAATAAACGAACTGACATTAGACTGCTGGGCCTTAGTTGGAATTTCAAGCACATATACTCAGAGTATTATTTTAGGTGAAGAGAATGTTGCATTTTTGTGCCAATATTTACTCAACAGAGGTCTTACTTTTCTCTTTCCCAGTATGTGGGAGCTTTACTTCATGCAGTTCCCCTTGCTTTGTATTATGTTAAAACAACAGGCTTGTCAAGAATGGAGACAGTGCAGTGATATATGCAGAGTCTATGGAGGCATTTTCTCTATGGGTTAAAGTAAGCAGTTGGATCCAAGTCAGGACATGGATGCTACAGCTGGTCTGGGGGAAAAGTGGCAATTAAGAGGGAAAAAAAAGAATAGAACGAGAGAATCACAGACATTCTTTTTTTAGGCAACGACAACAGAACCAGACTGTTTGAAACTGGTGACTCCAAATGTCACATTTTTCACTGAATTCTCAGTAATATTGCTGTTTCATAACTGTTCTTTGGTTGTATTAATTCCCACATTAACTTATAAAAAAAAACCTGTTACATATATTTTTATGTACTACATTTGTTATCTTTCTCTTTTGTATGTTTCTTTCTCTCAACAATCACTACTTCAGAGGATTGGAGAGAAGCATGTTAAAAGTTCAAGAACACTTCCATTAAATGGCTTACAGTCCAGCCCACGTTGGCACAGTCATTGTGATTAATCCATGCACTTCTGTGCTGTTTAACATCCAGTACCTATGTGATTTCCTATTCATTGGAAATGTTCATCTCCTTTAAAGATTTAAATGTATACTTGCATGAGGAAAATTAAAAATTAAATAAGGAACCTAGAAAGCAATGTTTTAAAGTACTTTCTCTGAGGAAGTTGGATAACTTATAATCATTTTAAGGGAGCAAAATTACTGTATACTAATCTATATTTCCAGATAATATTATTCATCTATCTCACACAAAAAATTATAGTGCATGAATAAAAGTGGCATAAACATGGAAATACCCCCCAAAATGATAAGGAATAAGAGCACAGGAAAGACGTCAACACACTTTAAAAGCTAGAAAGTAGAGGGACTGACAGAAAAATGAAGAAAGCTGAAATATAATTCCCTGTGCGACAGGGGAGGATATCAAAAGAGTATTAATCTGATCCAGTTCAAAGACCCATTGAAATGCTTAGGAACTTGAGGTACCAGTTATTTCTGGAGGCCAAGATGTGTGGTGGAATAGAAAGAAGGTGGTTGAACGTCTGTACATTTCGCAGTTGGACCCAGATTGCTTTCTCCAGTCTCTGCAACTGGAATATTGCATCTTCTCCACATCCACAAAGGCAAGAGTTTACTTTCTAAAAAGAATAAACTTGAAATGGTTCTAGGCTTTGGCACATGAGGGTGGCCAAGGAGATGGATGAGTCATCTGACTGAAATTAGGGTGATGTAGCCAAATGTTGCAGGCTAGGTGGTGACAACCCTAACTTCTCCCCCCTACTTGGCCCCCAAGAAATTATATCCAGCCCAGCACAGGAGCACGAATATAAATTTCTCTCTGGGAAAACTGTTCTGTCTAATTGATAAGAGCTACAAATATTTACATGGATCTCATTGTGGTATAATGCTGCCCACTAATCAAAAATTCTGTCCCTACACAAAATGCTTGCAATGCTTTAAAGAGCTACAGTTTTATAAATGAACTAGAGGCCCAGTGTACAAATTCATGCACCGGAGGAGTTCCTCAACCTGGCCTGTGGCTCTCTTGACATCCCCTGAGTGGTCCTGGATTGCAAGAGGTCACAGACCAGGCCAAGGGACCCCACTGGTGCACAATTGGGGCCAGGGAGGCAGGGAGGGACTGCGGGAGGGCTCCAGGACATGTCCAGCCAGTCTCACTCAGTCCTGATTGGCTGGACCCCAGCATCAAGCTAACCTACCGGTCTGAGTATCTGCCCGTTGGTGGTCAGTGAGCATCATAGCGACTGGTTGAACGGTTGAACAAACAGTCAGACACAGCATGTTAGGCTTTTATTATATAGGATGGACACAAACTATCACCAGACATAAAACAATAATATTTAAAATGCAGGATAGAATCCAAAAGAAATAAAGAAGACAAATAATATAATGAAAAAAGAAAAAAAGAGAGAAGAAAAGGGGAAAAGATATAATTAATATATTCCAAGAGAAAAGAAAACCTATGGAACAAGGACCCAATACACTTAAAAAGGAATAGGAAATGAGAAAAAGCTCTTGAAAATTAAGAATATGATATCAGAAATAAAAAATTTCAAAGGAAATTTTGGAATCTGAAATTGAAGATCTCAAAAAGTAGAACAAAAAAGATTCAATAATTAAAAAATTAACACTAGTAGTCAACACCTGTCTAATGATAGCTACAAAATGAGAGAGTAGATAAAATAGAAAAGAAAAAATTACCAAAACCTGAAACTCTTCCCAAGAACTTCTCTTAAAACATGTTATGTTTTCAGAAGAGGGCTCATGACTAATAAACATAATGTTTATTTTTTACAAAATACAAATCACATGATGGGAAAAATGTAAGACACTAGAGATAAAAAGAAGTTTATAAAACACTTTTACAGATAAAATTTAAAATATTAGCAATCATAATGATATAAATATTCTCACTACCAACTCTGAAAGATACAGAAAAATTAAAGACGCTTTTAAAATTCATATGGAGAATTATTGCCAACAGAGAAGTCCATGGCAAGCCAAACTATCAATTCAATGTGAAGGTAGACTAAGGATATTTTCTGGTGAGAAAAATTTTAGAATGTTTTCTTCTCATGTATTACTCTCAGAAGCTACTGGAAAAGACTAAGCTGCAAAAATGAAGGCAATGGAGCAATGGAATTCCCAATCTGAGTATGAAGAGAAGGCTCATGTCCCATTAAAACGGCAGTCCATCAGCCCTGAAGGGGATCTGCTCAGAGAGCTCCGGAAAACAAATAAGTAGGTTCTCTCTCTCTCTCTCTCTCTCTCTCTCTCTCTCTCTCTCTCTCTCTCTAACTGATGAAATACCTAGTGCCTGATATGTTTCAGAATTGTGAGAAGAGTTTTAGATTCTCTCAGAACAAATTTGAGATGCAAATTAGTACAGGAACAGTATTGAGCAAATGTAAAAGAAGGCAATTATTAACTAAAAAGTAAGATTGTACAGCAAAGGAAAGATTATCAGAGTAAAACATATAGTAGAGATTATATACCCTGTATTTCTCAATTTAATGCTACAAAAATGCTGTTTTCATTATATTTTAACATATGTTCCTATTCTTTCATATATACACAACACCAGCTGTAAATAATATTTATGTAAGTTATAAACATGCAAACAATGAATATTGATGTAATCTAAATCACAATTTCACTATATTTGGAGATGAGGGAAGAGAAAGTGTATTTGCATGCATGTGTTTGTGGGCTGTGGGGAAGGAGATCTATAATGACTAAATCTTTAATTTTCACAGTAGGAAGAAAAATAATGTTGCCATTTTGAAGTTTAAGAAATTGCAATAAATTCATGTTATTTAAAAATATGGAACTAAATATAAGCAGAAATAGCTAAAATAATTGAGAGCTGTGGCTATTTGTTGGTAGGAATTGAAGCCATGGGTCAGTGGGTCAGAGGACCACTGTTTGGGGCATAAAAATTGAAACATGGATAGAATTTTACTGTAAGGATTAAGTTCACAGACTCCGAAAACAACATATAGGGTTGAAATACTAGCTCTAGTACCTACCAGTCATGTGACCTTATAACTTAAATGTTCAATGCCCTAATTTTCTTCTTTGTATAATTAGACAGTTATGGTACTACCTCATAGAATTGTCACACAGATTAAATAACTTAATACATAAAATCATTTAAATAATATGGGGCACACAGTATCATTACTGTCAATACTGTGTAACTGTGAACTATTTACACAAATTACTTTGATTAAAAAATCACAAAGAAAGCATAGCACTTTGTATGA